ATTCTTGTCAGTACATCACCAGTTGACCGAGGGAAACGAAAGTCATATTGCATGTCTGAAAGAAGGCCCGCGATGTGAGATGCTCAATCATTTCAGCATTGATTAGGGCCTCTAGAAGTTTCCAAGATGGGGTAGAAGGCCAATAGGTCGATAGTTGAAATGGTCGGACGATTCACCTGATTTCTTAAAGACTGGAACAACAGATGAAAATATTTGTCTGTATCTTAGGCGATTTTTTATGATAGAAATGTTATTGGTTTTCTAGTGAATATTTTGCAATTATATTTTCAGCTAAAATAATTGACAGTATTTTCTATTTATATATTGAGTTCCTATCGTGTCAAATTGAGAAACTATGGGAAATTGGTTTTGTGATGACAATTACTCTACACTAATTATCTTTAAAGAAAATTAGGTAGAAAATATTAATTTTCCGGTAAATATATATATATATATATATATATATATATATATATATATGTGTGTGTGTGTGTGTGTGTGTGTGTGTGTGTGCGTCTGTGACTGTGTCTGTGTGCGCGCGCGGTTGTGTGTGAGCGTGTTACTAATGTTTTTTCGAACTTATTTTATAGTCAAGATTCCTCTTCGAGATATAAATAATTATGTGACTTTAAATATTACTTATACAAGCGGATATCTTTCTTTAGGATCGGTATTAACTTGTTCCGAAAATCCATCACATCCAACGACTTCCCTTATTTTTTTCCCTTTACACATCCCCCCCCAGGCAAGGTGATAATGCCACTAAGACGCAAGGAGTTACTGTGAGTGAAAGAGAACACTTTAGTGGGGGAGAAACGACAATAAAAGACAGGAAGACATAAGATGGCGATTGGCGTTGCATTTAAATCTTTGAAGAACGTAGGTGGCCAGGAAGCAAGAAACTGGAAGATAGTTACACAGGCGAGAAGTACGAGTAAAGAAACTATTTGCACAGAACTTACGGTTGCATCCGGCTATTTCTATGAGACCTTCTTTCTTATCCCTTATGCTGTATTTTTTTACTTCTTTCTTTTTTGTTATAGCTGTTCGTCTTGCCACTATCAATGAACGATATTCTGTGTCTTTTCGTTGTTGTTGCTGTATTCGTTGAAGTAGGAGATAGAGGGGATGAAGTGTTCATGCAAAAATTTGAGGATTTGAAGGGGTGAAGCCAATGCTACAGGCGGGTGTGACGGAGAGTGAACCGTTGCTGTCTTTAATTTTATCTCCGGCCTGAAAGGCAAGGTAGTAGAGAATGCAATAATGTTGAATTGCTTCTGTTTTTTTTTCTTTTTATATCGTCGTCTGCATAGCGTAGTAGGTTCAGTCGGTCACCGTATGTTAGAAAAAGACCACCATGATGCAATTCACTCCGCCAGAAATTTAGAAATGCTTGTGTTTCTCTGTGAAACAGTCTCCATCGAAATATGTCCGTGACTGCCGACTGGTTGTGTGCGATAGCAGTGATTTTAAAACACGACGAACAATGAGAAAGTGATCTGGAACTTACTTTCGTCGCGGTTTTTGTATGTAGAAAAATCATCGCTGCCTGACGCGTTGTCATGGTTACGTGTGTCACGGCCAGGGGCCTGTTTGCTGACTGTTCTATTTCATATCTGTTCTGACTGTCGCCGACAAAACGTTTGTATCGTTATTTGACAACCGGTGTCGGCTCACAAATCCTGCATGCGTTTTGTGCGGGAACGTACTCCGTGATCCACTCCCTGTCCCATTCCCACGTCATTTGCAGTTTAACCGCGCGGACGTCGTAGAGAGAACATCACGTGACTTGTCTTATCCAATCAGGTTACAGAAATCACTTATTTAATTTTGGAGCCGTGTTTTGTACAGAATTGTAAAGTTTGTTCGTATCTACTGATTTTAGTAGTATTTATTTGTAGCCCTCACTTGTTTGTGCTTCACTTATTCGCCGTAAAATATAGGTGTTTATAGCCTATAGTATATCCGACCGGAACGCTCCAGACAAAGTAGTTCCAGGTAAGACGATGATTGCCCTTTTACTTAGAAAAACAATCAGACAATTTCTACAAATTAGGTCGGTTCGAGGAAAAGGTAGCTCTATTCTCAATGGAGTGTGTGTGTGTGTGTATGTCACGTGATATGTAAAATATTTTCAACCAATTATCGTTGACTTACCAACTTCATAAATGTTAATTTTTCAATTACCAACTTCAACGACCAGTTAGCAGACCTAGAAAGTCCAGGTAAAATCTGCATCGTCAGTTGACCTAGGAACGTCAGCTTAGATCTGCACCAAATCACCAAGAATGCTAAATTGCCTACGCCGTATGAATATTTCCCAGTCTTCTTTCAGGCAAAAGCAGCGACGAAACATCAAAAGAACCATTAAAAGCTGCAATAACGGAAAAATATAAACTGTGGGTTGGAATATTCATATCTTTCTGTGAACAGATTTTATCAACCTTTTCGATGAATCCACCTTTCCACGAACTCTAAAAACTCCTTTTATTGCAAGCGTTACAGCAAAGAGTCATTCAGTTCAAATATAAATAGTTTATTCTACAAAAAAGTACATAGAAGAATCAATACATACAACCTTACTGTGCAAAATAGTGTATAAATAATATAAATAAATTGTACTTTCGAACGTTATTGATAATTATTCAGGTTTTTTTTATAACGTTCACCTTTGAGCAACCAACGAAACATGGTAAGTCAAAACTAGCGCCCAGATTCTAGGAAGTCAGATTATTATTTTCCTTCATTAATCATTCACTTCGAAAAGCTTTACCGGAGGATGAATAGATTCAGTGCGCGACAAGCTCAACATACCTTCAGTCAGTTATGTGCCATACGTGATACACGCTTACGCGATCATGTATCTTTCGATACATGACTGACGAGGCAGATTTTTTTTTCCCCGCAGTAAGTGGCCATTTGTTTCTGAGGTAGACCAGCTACCATCCCGGTCTGTCCTAGTATTTACCCATATCTGGGGGGGGAGAAGAAGAGGATTCATACCTTTCCCTAGGGTATTAGCACGTAAGTGAATGTAATGGAATCCTCAATCCGAGCCGCTATCCATTACTCCACTGTGCATTTCTCACCTTACACTTTCAAATTACTTTCTTTGGAGATTTAATTAAAATGCTTGGTTATTGTGAAAAGCCTTACACCATCATAATTTGAAGGACAAGACCACTGTAAAATTTAAGAAAGCTTAAATCTCCGGGCATGTTTTCCTGTGTTTAAGGAAGCTTAAATCTCCGGGCATGTTTTCCTTTGTTTAAGGAAGCTTAAATCTCCGGGCATGTTATCCTTTGTTTAAGGAAGCTTAAATCTCCGGGCATGTTATCCTGTGTTTAAGGAAGCTTAAATCTCCGGGCATGTTATCCTGTGTTTAAGGAAGCTTAAATCTCGGGCATGTTATCCTGTGTGTTTCCTGTGCTTAAATCCGGGAAGCTTAAATCTCCGGCATGTTATCCTGTGTTTAAGGAAGCTTAAATCTCGGGCATGTTATCCTGTGTTTAAGGAATCTTAAATCTCGGGGCATGTTATCCTGTGTTTAAGGAAAAATCTTAAATCTCCTGGCATTATCCTTGTTTAAGGAAGCTTAAATCTCTTTATCCTGTGTTTAAGGAAGCTTAAATCTCCGGGCATGTTATCCTGTGTTTAAGGAAGCTTAAATCTCCGGGCATGTTATCCTGTGTTTAAGGAAGCTTAAATCTCCGGGCATGTTATCCTGTGTTTAAGGAAGCTTAAATCTCCGGGCATGTTTAAGTGTTTAAGCTTAAATCTCGGGCATGTTATCCTGTGTTTAAGGAAGCTTAAATCTCCGGGCATGTTATCCTGTGTTTAAGGAAGCTTAAATCTCCGGGCATGTTATCCTCTGTTTAAGGAAGCTTTAAATCTCCATGTTATCGTGGCATGTTATCCTCTGTTTAAGGAAGCTTAAATCTCCGGGCATGTTATCCTCTGTTTAAGGAAGCTTAAATCTCCGGGCATGTTATCCTCTGTTTAAGGAAGCTTAAATCTCCGGGCATGTTATCGTGTTTAATGCCCGATTGCAGTTGAATAGATTCAACTACAATCGGGCATTAAACACAAAGGAGGGCATTTTGTACATTGCCAGTTATATAACTTGATACAGTTTCCTTAATAATTTATCCCCGCATGAATGGTTAGATAAATATGTCATTCATTGACTATTACCTTCTTGTACTTTTTAATACAAATAGCAAAATGTCAACTGAAAGACGTAAGAAAGAAATCAATAATTACATTTGACACATCCGGTATAATGTAATAATATGTATAATTTTATATAGATTACAATTGATCTGAATTCAATACCTACAAATACATTCAAAATTACGCATATAGGAATCATGACTCTAGATAGAGGGTATGCCAAATATAGCATCCAGATACTGGGATCTCCTGTTGTTAATATTTGTCTACCAGATTATTAATTCTATCTTATTCTTTTTGTTTTTGTTTAATAGGATCCTTAATAGATTTCTGCCAAATAAACGATTTGGTGATCATGCCATTCAATGATTTCTACATTCTTGCACAGTTTAATAAAAATGAGAAAAAATCAACTGGCTGCCGTAAAAAAAGAGAAATCTGATGCTACTTTTAACTTACGCTGTACTTTACCTGAGGTCGGTATGCAAACCTCGGTAAAATATCAATATCTCATAAGCTACATTACCAGGAAATTTGACCATTTGCATTTAAAAGAGTAACGTTTAAACAATCTTTTACTCTAGAACATTGTCTTGGGCTTATCATAAGTAATTAAATAAGTCATATTTAAATTCAAATGAATTGTAATTAATATTTCGGAGTTTTTGGTTAAAATGCCAGTTAAGGTTATTTAAATGACCTGAATTGTCTTTTACTTGAAGAGTAAAATTTACAACACACAAAAAATGTATCAAGCATTTAGTCATTGTTAGTAATCAATAAAATTTTCCTTATCTATATTTACTAAACTCACGCTAGGACGATGAATGGTATCCGAAAAAATATTGATTACCACTGAGCTTTCAATTTTTTTTCTCCTTTTCTCATTGGCTTTCTTTCTGTTTCTGTCTCTGTCTTCATTTCTCTCTGTCACTGTCTGTGTTTCTGTCTTTGTTCTCTCAGTCTCTCCGCCAGCTTCTATCAGTCTTTCTGGTTGTCTCTTTTACTTTCTTCAAATCCCTGTCTCTTTCTTTGTTTCAATATCTGGCATTGTTCTGTCACAGTCTCTGCCAGTTTCTATCAGTCCTGTTTCGATTGCTTTCTGTTTCGATTCCTGTCTTTGTTCTATTATAGTCTCTGCCAGAGTCTGTCAGCCCTTCCGTTTCTGTCTTACTTTCTCCTTTGATTTCTCCTTTTGGGTGAGTCACGTTTCTATCAGCCTTTCTATTTCTCTCTCTCTCTCTCCCTCTCTCTCTCTCTCTCTCTCTCTCTCTCTATCTATCTATCTATCTATCTATCTATCTATCTCACTCTCTTTCGAGTTGTCTATTTCTCCTGGCATTGTCTTTGCCAATTTCTATGAGCCTTTCTATTTCTCTCTCTCTCTCTCTCTCTCTCTATATATATATATATATATATATATATATATATATATATATATTATCTCACTCTCTTTCGAGTTGTTCTTTCTTCTGGCATTGTCTTTGCCAGTTTCTATCACTCTTTCTATTTCTCTCTCTTTGTTTCGAATTTCTGCCATTGTTCCGCTACAATTTGTTTTGTCGTTATCTCCGTCAGTTTCTGTCAGTTTTTCTGTTTCTGCCTCTGTCTGCCTGTGTTTTTCGTTTTCTCTATTTATTCTGACACGCAGTTTCTGTATTTGTTTTGGCATTGTTTCTGGCAGTTCTTCTGTTTCTGTTTCTCTCGATTTCTATCTTTCTTTTCTCTACCTCTGGCTGTTACTTTAAGGACTACTTTTCCTCAATCACCCCCTCTCTCTCTCTCTCTCTCTCTCTCTCTCTGTGTCTCATTTCATTTACTCCCTCTATTTCTCTCTATTTCAGTTTCCGCCCTTGTTCTGGAGCTCACTCTCTGTTACTGTAGGTCCCACTGTTTGCGTTATTTTCTGTTTCGATTTCTATCTTCTCTGTTTCTTCCTGTTTCTGTCAGTCTCTCTTTCTTTCTTTCTCTTTCTCTCCCTCTCTCTCTCGCTCTCTCTATCCCTCTCTTTCTCTTTCCATGTTTGCATTTCTGTTTACGTTATACCAGTGTTATGAATAATCAAGAGTGGTCTCCCCATGTTTCGTTACTCTCCTCTTTGAGAGAGCTAGTTCTGTTACTGGGACTATAAAAGGACACTATACGCTAACGTTGTATTCTCGGTTGAATAAAGCTTTCTTAAAGCCTACACCTGCGTACTTTTGTCATTACAACCAGTTTTGGCCAGTATCTCTGTTTCTATCTTTGAACTTCTCTTCTATTTTTCTCCCCTTCATTCTCTTACTATTTCTGTTTCGTTTTGCTTCCGTTTCTGCCTATGATACTGTCTGTCTATCTGTCCCTGTGTCTCTTTCTCTCCACCCTCTCACTCTCTCTCTCTCTCTCTATATATATATATATATATATGTGTCTATGTTTGTGTGTATGCGCGTGCGCACGCTCGAGTGCTTGTGTACGTGTGCGCATGCGTGCCTGTATCCAGTGACACACAGTCGACGTACGAGTCAGCGAAGCAGTCATTTTTGGTACCTAGCAGAAGTCTCTTTATTTATTATTCACGTGTCTATCTGTAGCAATTTTGGTTGTTTCTATCAAATAATTAAATAAGAAAAAGTCCAAGGTTCAGTGGACAAAGTTTTTATTCGGTTAATTTTATTAATTTCACAGTCGCCCCGTTCATATTAGAGGCGACGAACTGAGTTACATTTAGCCACAGTTTTTCCAAAGCGGAAAAATATTTTTGGTGTTTTAATTTGATTGACAGCCAAAAGAGAAAAAAGAAAGAAAGAAAGAAAGAAAGAAAGAAAGAAAGAAGTGAGAGAGATGGACAATGAAAAGAGTAGAAGAAAAAGAATATAGGAATATTGAATACCAAAAGTAGTAAGCGAATATAACAGATGACGTGAAATTATGTGTTCTGTATTTTTAAATATTTCATCACTTAGAATTACCGCTTTCATCGGTATAATCTCGTGAACTATGAGCCTGGCAGAAGTACTGTCTGGGATAACATTTAACGAGAATGAAATAGACACGCCTATCCGATTTTTTTTAATCATTTTACCCTAAGCAAGGTGGGAATGCTACTAGTATGCAGGGGGTTGCAGGGAGTGAGAATAAGAGAAAAGACTGAGTCTTGAGATGATTGAGAAAATCACAAAAGAACAGCCTTCAAAAAGATAGACGATGGAGATTGATGTTACATTTAAATTTTTGAAGATTGTAGTTACCAGGGAAGCAAGTAATCATCACAAATTTGATACTAATGCTAAAAGTGTACAAAACGCTCTTCCTTCGTACCACTGAACCAGAGAAATCCATACTTTGACCAGTAACGATGACGACTGTGTCCGGATATTCGAAGAAAAGTCGTCTATTTTACATTCATGACTCTTGTCACGGATATGAATTTTAGTCGCCACAGATGCCGATATTAACGTTATTCCTCCAAGAACGAAGAATAATTTAACACCAGCGCTGTATAAACTCCAAGCAGCAAACGATACAAAAATTAACACATACGGTGGAATATCAATTACATTAAATTTTGGTAGCCGATGTAGTTATTCCTGAATTTTTATACAAGCAGATGTGAAGACGCCTATACTAAGAGCAGACCCCCTTACAAATTTCAACTTATCAGTGAACATGCCTACCAAAACACTGACAGACAACGAAACCCAACTAAATAAACTATGGGACGCCTTTTCGATATCTTTCAACAGCACTAACGGACGACGAAATTTTTCGCGAAATTCTTCGTAAATTTTCAGGGATTACAATCCCATTCAAGCATACTGAGACAGTACTATACACTGGTAAACACCGCATTCAAACGACAGGACAACCGACTCATTCTGCTCTGTGGAGTCTCAGCCCGGTAGAATACAAGATGGCAAAGGAAGAATTTCAGCACATGTTGCAGCTAAGAATAATTCGACCTTCCAAGAAACATTGGTCATCCCCGTTGCACATAGTACCGAAAGTAGATTCTTCTGCCTGGCGTCCGTGTGGCGATTTCCGTCGACTAAACGCGTCAACAATTCGAGATTGCTATCCTATCCCGCATATATATGCTTTTGCGGTGGGACTGCTGGGTATGAAACTTTTCACCAGATTTGACTTAATCAAAGCGTATACCAAATCCTCGCCGAAGAAAGCGGTATACCAAAGACTACTATCAGCACCGCTTTCAGTTTATTCGAATTCACCAGAATGCCATTTGGTTTAAGAAACGCGGCCCAGTCATTTCGAGGTTGATAGACGAAGTATTAAGAGGTTTATTCTTCACTTTTGCATACATCGACGTATTAGTAGCAATTAATGAAAGGACACATGGAATATCTCCATCTTGTTTTGTACGCCTGCAGCATTTTGGGCTGAAAATGAACGTCGATAAATGTCCGTTTCGTGTAAAAAGAAACTTTCATTTTTAGGATGCACAATAGACGAAACATGAATATCACCTCTACCTGAGAAGACAGCTGTTATAAAAAAGATTTCGCGGTGACTTTTCATAGCAAAAATACGTATTCTTTTTGCTCCTGTAAAATGTAAGTAATCAACTACAAACACGTAAAGTTGCTTTGAACTTTTCACATTTCATTTCATTTCTCATTTTTTCTTTTTAAAAATGTCCTGATATATTCGTTAATATTTCTTTATTCCAATTTTATGTCTTATTATTTCTTTGGATTTTACGAGTCCACCAACATTGTTAGCGGGTCAAATGTACCAGGAGCTTATACCTTCTCATGAAAAGAATATATAACCGCTACAGCCTCGAATCGAATAGCAGGATCACCAAACCAGATATGGAAGCAGTTTTCAATTCACAGACGAATGGTAGATTTGTAAATGTGTAAAGTGGATTCTGACGTGATTTTTTAGGCATTCACTTCTTTCTGATGCTCTAAAGCAATGTTTTGTAATCATATTTCTCTCTCGACAGTTAAAAAAAAATGAAATATCAAAATACGTATAAAATATTTTAGAATTAATCAGTTAAACTTTAGCATTATTCCGTTTACACCAACATGGCTTTATCAGATTCGCCAAGACGTTGTTACGCGGCACTGTTCAACAGATATGAAATACAACACACATATATTTACTTTCTTTTTTCTCTCTCTTTTTCTTAAGCTTGGGTTTCCGGAAATATATTTTCCTTTAGTGACTAAAAATTAACACACATGTACTCATATAATACTCACATATTCCCTAAATTTTAGTGTCTTCTTTCTTTTCAGCTATATCTATATGCATTCTCGTGTATTTTCTCTCCTTTATTCATCATTTAATATCTATATAAAAACTCACGATAATATCTTATTGAAATTTATTCCATTTACTTTCACCTCTAGTAAGAATGACGAACGGTATAAATTCTCTTTGCTACCGCTTTTAGTCAAACTAGGAGCAGTTGTGCAACAGTTCTCGCACACGGATATGCTTAATAGTAGGACGTGCCGACCATATTCATAATCTATTCACTAATAGCATTAAGTCCCATCTTTTTGAGGAAGTTTATACACTATCAACAGTGTATTATAAGACTCAGCTCAGATTGTGCCAAAATAGATTTTGTACTTGGTCTCATAACAGACCACCAAAGTAGCAAAGACATGCAGCGGGTCGTCCTCAGAAATGATATTCTCTCAGGGTGTGGAGATCAGTGATTCATCCGATATAGCATCTGCGTTCGGAGATATTCTCTCAGGGTGTGGAGATCAGTGATTCATCCGATATAGCATCTGCGTTCGGAGATATTCTCTCAGGGTGTGGAGATCAGTGATTCATCCGATATAGCATCTGCGTTCGGAGATATTCTCTCAGGTGTGGAGATCAGTGATTCATCCGATATAGCATCTGCGTTCGGAGATATTCTCTCAGGGTGTGGAGATCAGTGATTCATCCGATATAGCATCTGCGTTCGGAGATATTCTCTCAGGGTGTGGAGATCAGTGATTCATCCGATATAGCATCTGCGTTCGGAGATATTCTCTCAGGGTGTGGAGATCAGTGATTCATCCGATATAGCATCTGCGTTCGGAGATATTCTCTCAGGGTGTGGAGATCAGTGATTCATCCGATATAGCATCTGCGTTCGGAGATATTCTCTCAGGGTGTGGAGATCAGTGATTCATCCGATATAGCATCTGCGTTCGGAGATATTCTCTCAGGGTGTGGAGATCAGTGATTCATCCGATATAGCATCTGCGTTCGGAGATATTCTCTCAGGGTGTGAGATCAGTGATTCATCCGATATAGCATCTGCGTTCGGAGATATTCTCTCAGGGTGTGGAGATCAGTGATTCATCCGATATAGCATCTGCGTTCGGAGATATTCTCTCAGGGTGTGGAGATCAGTGATTCATCCGATATAGCATCTGCGTTCGGAGATATTCTCTCAGGGTGTGGAGATCAGTGATTCATCCGATATAGCATCTGCGTTCGGAGATATTCTCTCAGGGTGTGGAGATCAGTGATTCATCCGATATAGCATCTGCGTTCGGAGATATTCTCTCAGGGTGTGGAGATCAGTGATTCATCCGATATAGCATCTGCGTTCGGAAATATTCTCTCAGGGTGTGGAGATCAGTGATTCATCCGATATAGCATCTGCGTTCGGAGATATTCTCTCAGGGTGTGGAGATCAGTGATTCATCCGATATAGCATCTGCGTTCGGAAATATTCTCTCAGGGTGTGGAGATCAGTGATTCATCCGATATAGCATCTGCGTTCGGAGATGGTGGCTTCTCGGGATAACGGCTTCTGTCAATGCGAATTGAATTAATTGCTAGGTCTGCTGCTAAGAAATGCGTTTCAATTTGTCGTAGTAGACATTGTTTCGCACATTTCTAAGTCTGCTATTCTTCCATACATTGAATATTCTTGTCACATCTGGTTTGGTGCATCTACTCTGTATATACAGATCCTTGATTAAATCCAGAAGAAGAATCTGCAACGTTATCAGTCTTGACCTGGTATGTCGGCTTCAGTTACATTCCCACTGCCTTAATATAGCTTACCTGTGCGTTTTCTATAAATATTCCGTTGCTAATGTCCGGATTAGCTTTCCTCTTTCGTGTCTCCATTTTACGCAGTACTAGACTGTCAGATAGGTCTCATCATTTTAAAGATAGCATGGCTAGATGTAACCGTAAGTTCTACGCTAACAGCTTCCTCTATCGCACTTCTCGCTTGTGGAATTCTTGCTTTCCAGTCAACTTCGAGCTTTAAAGTTTGAATAAAATATTAATCGTTACATTTTTGTCTCCTTAATTCCTGTTCTTTTATTGTCCTATTTCACTAATAATA